AAGTTGGGAACACACACAGTTTTTTAAAATATTAAAATTTAATAAATTATTTAAAAAAAAACCACTTATTTTTAAACAATTAAATATCCCAGAGCAAACGTAAATCATTTTTATAGTAAAAAAAAAGTATGTACAGTTTTATAGCCGTCGTAAAATTAAATTATTTCTCTTGCCAAAGGAGTAACACTCGTAGTTTTCTTTCCCGGATACAATTAACGTCGAAAACCACTCGACGCGTTTTTTGCCTCAATAACTTATCGTGTTTATTAGTGTTTCCGTAAGATATCACTTAGCTGGTTAGAAATTATTTTTTTTCAAGTTTTTTACCAATTCAATATACAGTAGCAATATAATGCGTTTCATAGCTGGCTTAATAAAACTCATTTGTCAAAAGAAATACGCTTTAAAAATTTTTTAACCGATTTCAAAAAGGAGGAGGTTCTTAACTGTGCATGAAGCGATTGTAGATTGTATGTATGTACTGCCTGGATTGTATGTAACCTTACTAATATTATAAATGCGAATGTTTATACGGAGGGACGAATGGATGTTTGTCTGTATGAAGGTATTTTCAGAACGGCTGTACATATAGAACATAGTATGAAAGAACACAAAGTCTACTAACTAAGTATTTATTAATTCCGCGCGGACGAAGTCGCGTGCGACATCTAGTTACGTATAAAAACAATGAATATTTCACTATGAGACAGTAACCTAAGTTTTTATATTTTTTTAATATTTCGCTCGGTGTGCCCCCAGCCTAATACGATTTCCGACTGACTGGACCACTCTGGCAGGGGTTAAGTGCAGGTATCACCTTTATAGTTTTTTTTTCTACCATTCCAAAGAAAATAGGTTATAGTCTATTTATTTCGCTTTTTATATTTCCGACCTGGCAATGAGTAAGTTTTAGTTTTATGACAGTAAGCACATATTTAGTTTTGATATATAAAATATTACTTTAAATATAAAAAAGAGTCTTGATAGACAGACGGACAGACAACAAAATGATCCTATAAGGGTTCCGTTTTTTTCTCTTCGAGGTACGGAATCCAAAAAACTGCGTAATAAAACAGTTTCATAAGATTTTATAGTTATTTAAGATATAATATGAAAAAAAAAATTTATATTTATAATCTGTGGTATAGTTGCTTCGTAGAACTCTTATTGCATTATATACTTACAAAACATTCTATATAACAGGAAATTGGGGCAATTGCTTACTTGTAAAGCAAAACCAAACTATAGTAATAATGTAATCATTATATAACCACAAATATCTTAAACATCCAATCCCACAAAGTAAATTATGTAAAATAATAGTTTGGATATTAAAAACCTATTAAAAAAGTTTGGATATATACATATGAAACTGATGCGCGGTTTACATTATTCCAGTTCAGCGATAATTTCGAGCACTGGACTGGAATCATGTAAACTAAAAGTACTGCCGAAATATCTATACAAAACATATTGCCATCTCTTTCATTCTCTTTGCAAGAAATGAGACAACATGTTTTAGTACTTTCGGCAGTGGACACTCACGGAAATGAATTGCTTCTTTTTCCTCGAATCGAGCGTAATCATTGTTAATTAGATTAGTTTTTGTTATTTAACTCGGTCCGAACTTCACGGGATCCGTTGATACGTTTTAAATTATGCTCATAAAGGCTATTTGTAACATTTCTTGGTAATACACGAATTTATTTCTTATGCACGCAATATTTATTGGTTGTTTTTCTTTAAAATTGCATCCAAATTGAGCTGTTTAGAGATGTTTTTATCAACTTTAATTAACATACTTTTTTGTTTACTACGTTGTTTCTAGTAGTCTTTACCTTATTTATCTCTTATCCTATTTTTTTCGTTCCTTTTAAAGAAATTTTATTAAACGTGAAACAATCAAGAATTAAAGCCACGCCATAAGCCATAGTAAGTTAATTAGAAGTAATAGCAAAAAAATAATGCCTAACAAAAACAATTTAAAACAACTCTTAAATATGTAGGCCATTGCACCTGTCCGCACGTTGTAAAAGGCACAAAGCAAAAACTTTTTCTCAAAAAAAAAAAACATAAAAACGTTAGTGAGCGTGGGACTCTTTCCCGCCATTTATAATATTAAAGCTTAACAGGATTGTTTATAAAAGTTTACAACTCGATGAAAACATGTTTGTGAGAGCCGCAAAATAAATAAATCCAAAAATAATACCAAAGAACTCTGTGGGAGATTTTCGAATTCTCTTTGTTTCCTATCTTACTAATATTATAAATGCGAATGTTTAGATGGATAGATGTTTGGTTAAAAGTGACTCATGGCTGCATGGATCTCACTGAAATTTGACATAAAGGCATAGTCTGGAAGAACACATACTACTTATTTTTTTAATGCCACGCGGACGGTGTCGTTGGCGACAGCTAGTATTATTATAAGCATACGCGTTTTTGTTTTGAGGGACACTCTCATTTTAACTTTGAATTTTTGATTAAAAAAAACATGAATTTTTTTTGCTGACGGAAAAATCAGTTGCAGAGCGGAATTGACAAATGTACCAGTTTTGGGCGTCGTATAATAAAGTAGTAATAGTACAGCTAGTGATGTATTCAAAGAGATTATTGTTTTTTTTTTGTTTTTTTAAAAACAAGATACCATAAACAATTCTATGTTTAGTTTATGACTTGTTTATTGAGTCCACAAAAACACAAGTAATGTTTACGATAACAAAAACAAATGTATTTACAATAGTAATTCTGTTAATATTTACCATACATTTACATTGAATAAGAAATGCAAGTGAAAAGTGTTTATTTTTCACAGAAGCATGAGGAATAGTAAAAAGTAAAATATGCGTTTGCCAATTCATCACAATAAAGGCGTTGTACAAATGTAGAAGGCAGTAAGACCTAATTTGTAGATATGCTAAGTTCATGAGATCTCCAATAGACCAGTCTGACCACACCTTTTGATGAACATTCAAAGCAATTCTAAACCTTATTCCTAAACGTGTAAAGTTCATTATTGAATGTAGCACATATATAGTGTTGTTACCTAGACATCGATAGCTAGTAGAGACTGTATTTTACTAAATTAATACCTTTCAAGAACTCAAACGCTGTTATGGCTTGTAATTAGGAACAGGTTTCTTAGGTCCTGATGATTTTTTATCTATATTAAATGGAATCCATAGACCACTAGCGAACATTAAAATAAGCGTACGAACTACTAGACTATTAATTAACTATTTTATTGATTTTTTGTACTTTGTTTACGACATTTTAATAGTCGTATCTAAATAAGAGTTTATTAAAAACAACTATAAATGTATTATATTTTCAGATTTGTAAAGAATTCATATGTTGCAATAGGATTTACCGGATTTCCAAAAAAAAAACAATTCGTTTTATCCAACTTTTATCATTATTTATGTAAAAATGCTTATAGAATTGTTACTTATAAATTTAACGAAACAGTAAGAAACAATAGACAAGATAACTGAGCCTCATAATTATTCCCAAAGTGCCGCATCTATTAGTTTATCTGTCGGACACCATTACGAGTTATTAACTATATAGTTACGATAAAATATCTATTTGGAAAATTCCATACCACTTAAACTCGAAAACGATTCGTTATTTAAAAGTTAATTAAAACAGGTATCGGGATTTCATGTAACTGGCCGCTATTGGGCCGTTTGTTTTTTTTTCTTCGTCCTCATCATAGACAACACATTTTATTTCAATATTATCGTTCAGTGACGTCGCAGCCGGTTTTTTATTGTCGCCTTTCCGATTTTTATTAAACTCGTATCGCGCCACTCGAATCGATTTGAAGCGCATTTTATCGAGACAAACGTTGTGACTCGTTGTTTCATTTATATATATAAAAAATTTATGTAAAAAATGGAGGACAGGCCTAACAAAGAGATAGGTCGTGCAGGTCGCGTCGGGCGTTGCACGTACGTAAAAAATAACGCAAAATCATCTCGAATGCAAAAACACGAATGAGTCACGCATTCTTTATCGAGCGTTAATAAAGGAAGTTTGCAAGGACCCCGGGTCTTTTGAACGTTGATCGTGCAAAACAAAATTAACGTAAATAACGCAGTGTAATTTATTTTTTTAAATGAAAAAGGATTTTACGAAATTTTTTATCAAAACAAATTTATGTGTATGCACTTTAATTTTAAAATAACATTCATAATAGCACCCATTAATCAGTATTTATCAAATTAAACTATTGTTTTTGCATGTAAATTTTCGTCTTCAATAACAAAAACTTTTTGTTCATGTATTCTTGACATTGAGGAAACTAGTTGAATGTTATTTTGGTTATAATTTATATACGTCACGAATACGACGGAAGGTCAACAAGGCCTAAATAAGTATTTTGCACTCGAACAATGCGATTGTTTGCGTTGTTTATGTCACGTGAGATCTTTGCCCTGACGACCTTGGAATTAAAAAGTTTTGAATGTGTATTTATTTTTTATAAAATTATGTTGTTGTGTACCAATTTGAGGCAATAACAATTAATTTAAAAGATTTTATTTGTGTTGTATTTCTTTTTTTAACTGTTATTTTCATATTCTCTTTGTTTTTCTTAAAAAATAAACAAGATGGAATGGAGATAGTGAATAATAAAAATGCATTTTAAAATTCAGCCAAAACAAATTCATTGGCAAAGCGCAGAAGTATAGTCGACTGACATGTACATATATTCTAGGGACGTTAGATATAAAAATATTTGGCCTAGGTTACACCGTCCGTAGTTGACCGTGGCAAGGTCGCGAGGCTTTTGAACTTGGAACAAAACCATTCGAATTTACTCGGAGCTGATTGATGGGGTTTCTTCATAACACGCGAGATTGATTTTTCTTTGTTCTCTTTTTTGTGAACGGGCAAACGTATACGATGCGTTCCACCGCGGTTTGTCATTAAAAGACGTTCGGAAATGTTTTCGACTTGTTTACTATCCACTTATCATTGTTTTTTTTTTGTTTCAGGGCTTTCAACTTCATTGTTGGCTGTTATGGTGACATACGGACAAGGTGAAGTGAGTGTTTTGTTGATATTTTATATTATTTCGTTATTGATGCTATATTAAAAATTTGTTTATTACGTAGCATCTATTTTAGAGATCTCAAGTTCGGATAATCGCATTAACTTTAGAAATAGATGTGCAATTAAGTTGCGAGTATCCGAACGCCCTCGATGCCGGTTACGCACACGGGATACTACGGTAGTCTATTGTCTTTTGTACGTCACTAGTGAGTCAGGCCATTGTGCGACTCACAATAGCCGCTTTGTTCATTGTACCTCAGGGACCTCGCTGTTACGTATTTTCTAATGAGTAATTAGTACGGCATAGGTAAGTCTAGTGGATATTACATGCTGTATGAATGTTGCTTTTCAATTGCATACGATTATCTGCTTGTCTAGTTAACTGTACAGAATTATGACCTGTCTTCCATTGTTTACAATTCATGTCGACTCATTTGTTCTTAGTATGTGACTCAATGATTATTTTAAAGATAAACATGTAAATACGTTACGCTACCTAGGATCCGAATATGATGAAATAGTTGTCCGCGACTTCGTCCGCGCGGAATTAAAAAAAAATAGAAGTCTTTGTGTCCTTCTGGACTATGTTCTTTCGCCAAATTCAATCGGGATCCGTTCAGCTGTTCTGGAGAGACCTTCAAACATCCATTCATCAAAACATTCCCATTTATAATATTATTACGATAGTATGAAGTAAATGAACATAAAACTAACAATATCTAAGAAAAATTCAGATTGTAACTGACCCTTCTTTCATTTGGATTAGGAGAATATTTATCGATTTCTTTACATTTAATTTTTTACCGAGTAATGTGTTTAAGTGTCTATTTCGGTTACAATACGAAAAAAAAATCTATAAACTTTTTTGTTTGAAGTATTGATCCACCGCGAAATAAGTTTTTGTGTGCCCACTTTATCGGATGGCACGCGTGCATGGGGTATAGCCCTCAAATACTTCGTATCCAAACTACAAAGGGCAAAAAAAGGGCTCAGCAGAAATACAATAGTCATAGCAAAACTCCATCCAACTACAACTAGCTTTGAAAAAATTGTCAATAGAATTTCAACTCTATTCCTAAACGTCAAATGCCATATTCCCTTTTTTTCCATTTTTTGGGCCCCTGCAAACTTTTAAAGCGGGAACTTGTAGGCGGGAAAAGTGGTCGTTCGTTTAGACATGTCAAAACAAATTAGCTGTAGGTATATACGCGAATTTACGAGAAGCGTTTATTGAGATAGCTTATATAGGTTTTTGGTAGGTGCGAAAAGGATGGTTGTAATGTTCATGTGAAAATCTAAATTTATTGCCGCAGTTTTTCCCCTTTTAGGCGTTTATGATCGATGTGTGGGCGATGAATCAGGAGTTTTAGGTTTTCTCATATGTGAGGTTAGTTTTATTACGTATACATCTGTTTTGTATAGATTTGATAAATAATTATTGCTCTTAAGAAATATCCAAATGAAATCATACAAAATTGGAATAAGAATAGATTCAATTTTGCTCTTAATGAAATAAATTCTTGCCTATTAGAATTACACACAGGTTTCTAAAAGAAATTTCAATTGAAATCGTTTAAGATTTTCTAGAAGTTTGTTTAATTCACAAAACGTATTTTTAAAAATAGCTGGCTAAAAATAAAATCAATCGAAATAAAAGCACCCGTAGAAATAAAGAATAATTAACCTTAAAGAAAAAGAAATTAAAAAACAAAAGAACTAAAATTGAATCGGTTGACTCAAAATTCGAATTACGAAATTGCTTATAACTAATTCAAACATAAAACTCATCCATTCTAGTGGGTGGCGACATACGATGATGGGGTAAAAATTACCCCCTAGGGTAATCCGGCCCACCCTACGTGCAGCGTACACATGCACTGCGTACACTCACGCACACTAAAATATTTCGGAAGGACTGATAACAGTGTATTTCCGTTGCCTGGTGAATCCCTAGTAGGTAGTACCAAATGAAAATGGAGGATGACGTTCAATTGAACGTAATTTTTAACTATTTATGCATTTAACTATAAAAATATACTAGAAAAAAGCGTATATAAATATAAAATACTAAACTACAATAATAAATATATAACTTTACCGCGTTATCTATTTTATCAAATATTAAACGGACTTTAATGGATCTTTTCTATTCGTTGTTTCAATATCAAGTTAAGTCAACGATAGACGTTAGTTTTAACTAAGAGTCGACTTGTACTGTTTAGTTAAAACTGATCGTCTTTAACAGGCTTTACTTTCAGTTAATTTTATAAGATAACGTCTTACATCTAAATAGAGTGTTGTCAAATCGCTTACACATAATGGCTTCTACAGAGATGAACAAGATATGTTTAGTCGACTTAACAGAGATGGAACTGGCCTTTAAATAACAGAGCTGCAGGTCTATTTCTGATGTTTGGTAGTCGTATAATGTTCAAATGACCTGTTCCTTAATAATGTGTTCCCAAAAGGGTTACTTTTTGGGCTGTGAGGTGTTTAATGGTGAGTCTTAATGACCGTTTTGTTCACCGTACCTCGTGTTTACGGTTGCAATAAAAATTTAAATGCCCCGCGGAACACGCGCGATGACGTCGGCTTTGCATTCTTTTTTTAAATTCATATTTGTTCAACATACTTACAAAGTTTAGGCTTTTATTATTTCGTAATAAGACCCTAATTTTGATTATAACACTAAAAATTAACCTAATCATGTCTATAAAGTTATAAATTCCACTTCTTTTATTAATGTAAAAATTGACACAGAATAGGGTTTCTTTAACAGTTTTAAGCTACATATAGTATTACTGCAAACAATTAATTACTAGAAGTAATATATTTATTACGAATGACCGTTCCGGTCCGTAGTTGCGTCATTTGCAGCAATTAGTCTATTAAGTCACGCTTGACTAGTGCTCACTTCACACTGACAACCGACCTAAAACTGTTACAATAACCTCTACATTTCATGCTTGATTGGGATACGTAGAAAAACATACAATACTCCAGGTGGATATCATTGTTCCAAAACTATTGAGTTGTTTTGTTTTTTATTACTTTTTTTTTAAATCTAACGGTTAATTTAAGTAAAAAAAAAATATACCCACTACATAGACAATACGCTTAAATCCACATAAAACATTTAGTACTTTCTTGTGGAATTTTATCTGTCATCATCATCATCATCAGCTCACTATACGTCCCCATACAAGGTCTCGTAGCCTACCCTAAGTTAAGGGTGATTAGGCCATAGTCAACCACGCTGGCCGAGTGCGGGTTGGTTGACTTCACACAAATCTTTGAATTTCTTAGATATGTGCAGATTGCATCACGATGTTTTCCTTTATCTGTGATTTCTACTATTTAGTAGAAACTAGATTAAACGTAGATCAAGAACTTCTGTAAAGACAAATCACTCTAGTTAACCTATCATTCTATTCTTGAGGGTCTTGGACGTGAAATCTTTTTTATGTGATTTTTTTTATTTACTAGCTGTCGACCGCGTCTCCGTCCGCGCAGAATCAAAAACAAACGTAATAAGTAGCCTATGTGTTCTTCCAGACTATGTTCTACATCTATACCATTTCATCCATGCAGCGGTTTCGGAAATACCTACAAACAAAAACCCATCCATCCATCCAAACATTCGCACTTATAAGTAAGAAGTAAGATATATTTGAACCTTAGACCCAAGTTACAACAGGCACTTTAAGTGACTATAAGAGGGTCAGTAACTTTCGTGAAGTGGTGATATACGTATTGGGCGTCAAATACGTATTTATGAGCGTAGACACAATACCCAAACTGCTGCGATGCACGCGAGGTTAAGCTGTGTACACACTATCTCTAACTGTCGCACAGATACAGTCAGTAATTAACATTTTTTAAAAGAATGTGATTAGGGCTTTACATTAACAGACACGAAATCGGGTATAAAACCTTTTTTCTTGTTTTAATAAGTTCGTTTACTTGTTCATTACTTTTTATTTTATTTAGGAAAATACAAAATGGTTGTTTCTTGTCACTACTTCTTACTAGTATTATAAATGCGAATGTTTAGATGGATGGATATCGGTATCTCCGGAACTTTGGTATAGATGTAGAACATAAGGAAGGACACATAGATTACTTATTAAATTTTAGCAATGCCGCGCGGACGGAGTCGCGGGCGACAGCTGTCTTTAAATCGCAATAGATATAAAACAGTAGGTATAATTAATGTAGCAATATTTATAAATTAGAATTTATTAGAATTATTATTAAATTTGAAGACTATGTAAAATATTTTGAATTCTAGCGTTAAATTATAATATGTTTTTTCAGAAATTTTGTTTCTTTTTTGTCATCAAGTGTACGGGCGCGTGTTGGTGGCATCGCATAGCGCGGTGTTTCAATTGAGCCGTGCATACATATTTAGCTGGAATTAGGCTCGGAGAATGTGATTTATCGCTTTGTACTTGGCTTTCACACAAACTTTCGTTTCACGAGTGCTCGTTTGTCACGGTACGTTATTTGTTAGCGTGTTATTTTTTTTTCGTTTTTCAAACAATCACATGCTTGCTTGAGCGAATAAGTATTTCTTTAATTTACAGTTATAATAAGGTCTGTAGTGTTGTTTTTTTTTGGTATATAAGAACCTACAATCGTATGTCTTTCAACCAAAATAAACACTGCATATAATCCTACTACGATTTTTTTAAGTAGCAAAAACTCATCTCAGTTTATTGTTTTTCTATTCGTAGTTAGTTTTTTTTTTAACTTTTTTGTGTATGTATCCAACCGTCTTCACTTTTATAGATAAAACGGCATCAAAAACACGCCTTAAAACCTTCATCGAGTTATTTACCGTACCGTGTACATCTGTGTCGGAGGGAGATCGGAGTAAGCCAGAGATTTGCGAACTAATTTCAACTGCAAATCCCCGAAATGAGCAGGATTTGGTAACCGGCGTTACGACACCCCATCTGAACGCACCTTTATGATTATTCTTCGAGATAATAGTTGTCTTATTACTGTCAGCGGACTGAATGTTGCCAACCTCTGGCATCCAATCCTTAAAATGAAATTCGAAAATCATAAGCTTCAACTCATTTTTATATAAGATTTACTACTTATTTGCAGACCTTTCACATTCAAAACTGTTTATTCCAAGTTACAAGATATCTTCAGAATGCCTTCATATATGGATTTGGTTTAGATGTAGAACACTATCTGGAATAACACATAGGCTACTTAGTAAGTTATAACTTAATATATTGCGGACGAAGTCATGGGTTAAAGTCCCAATCTTAAACAAAACGTCCGTTCGTTTCCGAGACCACTGCCTCTACATAAAACATATCGTTATTATTTTTGAAAAATTACAGATAACAATATGTTACAAAAGGGCTTTTAGTCTCAGAAACCCACAGGTAGTCTTTTTATTTATATTTTACTTAATTAAGTTAAATAAGTAGTCGTTAAAAGTTATAGACTCAGTTTCTCTTCATTTACACCTCATACTGCAGTTTCTTGTCATTAACGTAAACAGCATCATTACTCACTTTAAGCACATTATCACGAAAAATTTAACGTTAAGACTCGAGCACTTAATTAGTAGATACACTGGTGTTTCTTTTATTAATATAGTTTCTTGTTTATTATCTTGTATGTAGATTCATGATAGGATTTTTACTATTATATTAAAACGCAATAATTCGGTAACCATATATTTTTATATTGAATAACCTAGCGCTTGACTACGCTCCTTCATGTTAATTGATGATGTAGTCATAAGTTTGTACTTTAGTAAATGCCTATTCACTTTATATTTGTTAATTCTCACTGACGCTTCGCTCTTATTGGTCGCAGCGTAATGTTATATAGCGTAAAGCCTTCCTCTATAAATGGACTATCCAACAAAAAAAGAATTTTTCAAATCGGACCAGTAGCTCCTGAGAATAGCGCATTTAAATAAACAAACTCTTTCGCTTTATAATATTAGTATCAATTTGTCAAGCGCTTCATCGTTGTTTTCACGGTCCCAACATTGTGACACAAAAACATATTTTATATCTTTATTCTTTTAATGATATATGGCTGTGAAAATTTAAAGCTATTGTTCATCATCATCAGCTCATCACCACCGAGAGGCTCGGAGCATACCCTAAGTTAGAGGTGATTAGTCCACAGTCAACAACTGGCCAAGTACGGGTTGATTATTACCAAGATGTCTTACTTAATCTTATGGAAAGACATCAGTCTGTTATCGTGACGAATGAAGGTAAGATAATTTTAAACTATATTTATGAAATTAAATTATACTTAAAAACCTGTTACCTTTCAAACTGACGTTAAAACTTCAATATTAAAAAATATATGATAAATCGTCGCAATAAATTCTCAAAATTAGCAGTAATTTAAAGTCATTATAACATTACAAGCTTACATATAGATATCATCTTTTAATCAACAGCATTGCCATTTTAACATAGCCTCCGGACCTTATTTATCCTCAGTGAAATTATAAAGACCGCGAATTTTTATAAGAAATGCCGCAGATCAAGTTATAGTGGGCGTTACGATGCCACCCGCCGTCGAAATAATTATAAACCGGGGTGAAAACTTGTCAGTTGCAGCTCATTAAAATTGAACTTTAAAGAACATGTGTGTACGCCGCCTTAGGGCTGGTGCGTGTACGCAACAATTCTGAAGGGGACCATCTTAGTTTAGTAATTACCTTTCGTCCGTGCGTTTAGCAACTGTTTGCGAAACAGTAATTATATCATGTACTTTATAAGGGTACTATTGTTTTAGAAATAGTTTTAATTGAACTTTCTTGCTGCAAAGTACATCGACATTTGAAGTTACCTACTGTTTTTAAGTTAAACACGTGAAAATGTCTGTATATTTCTTCATGTTAAATAGCAAACGTCAAGGCAAGTATGCATCAAATTCACCAAGGTTTTAGAAGAACAAAAATCGTACCAGCAAGTACTAAGTTACATTTAAAATAGCACAAAATGCAGCTCCTTACTCTCAAGGGCGTCGAATAACATCGTGGTAACAATTTCCGTGATTATAAATTTAAAATTTAACATTGTAATCGTGGGTAAGACTTCCCACGGAGCGTCTATAAAAAATTACCATACCGCGAAGGGGTTGCTAAACTTATCTGCTTACAACAAATCCCGTCTTCGGTATAGAATATGTTAATTGTGGATACCTACGTAAATTTAATTAGAAGGGTTGCGCACGGCAGCTGTTTTATTCAAATGATAATTTCGTTTATAACGCTTCGGTCGGGAGGAATTTCGTGCAGTAAATCTTTAAAGGGTTGTTTGCCTAACTCTATTATTACTAAGTTTTATTGTTTTAAACTGTGATGTTTAATTGTGAGTTTCCACTGTCAAAATAATTAGACAAAAACATCAGATATATAGGCAATAGAAGCTCATGGTTATAATTGTAAATCATTCCCTTTTTACATGTCGTGTTTTGAAATCTTCCACAGAAATGTAAAGGTAAGTATACACTAAATCATTAACTTGTTACAGATCAACGAACAGTCTATGAGACGCTTTCTCTGCATTGTAAAATGCTCAAGAAAATACTAGTGTATATCCACCTTTATTTTATTCAAAGAAGAAAACCAACGCTTTATTGTTCATTGCATATGTTTGAAATTATTGATGACCATCAGCAAGAGAAGAGAGGAAGAAAGAAGATAAAGAAGTAAAAAGAAGATTGTACTGGTGATTGCCACTAGCGAGGTATAGAGTTCCTACGTATGCACAAACTGTAGGAACTTCATACCGTGCTCTTGGGTTTGCCAAACTTCTGCACGTCGTACCAACTGCTTCTAAGATATCAAGCAAGAAGAAAGAAATCATTGTTTTGTTTTTAAAATAAAAAGACATGTAATAATTTATTTACTATTGTAATTCTGTTTTATTTACATTTTGTGTAATTATATTTTATGACAGAGATTTAATAAATATTCTTAGGAGTTGTAATTAAAATGAAGCATACTGTTTGTTGGTTTGTATTATATGTTTTATCTTTTTCCCTTTCTAAATTATTTTAGATAAGAAAACTGCATAACAAGATCCACAAGTTACAACAGGGTGTACAAGAAATCATTAAAAAAAATACTCTACATATTTCATTAAAGAAAATAGTTAGAATCACACCTTATCCTGCAAACTTGGTAAGTCGTTTAATCCACACAATATTAAAGGCATACACCAACAGAAAGTTGTTTCACTACTGTCAGCATAGCAAAATGACCTTACTAAACTGTCATTTTGTACCCTAGTATGGTACAGTCAGGGCCATACGCGGTGTTCCACTTATAAAAAAAACTCCACCCCTTCTTACAAAATAATTAAGTAATTGTTTACGACCTGTTAATTTATTGCTTCTGTATCGTCTTAATACTTACTAAAGGTTAAAACGATTGTGCTTTAATGTGGAATACCGCTAGATTCCCCGATAGTACATTTAATGATTCATCAAGTGTATTAATTGCAATTCCTATCTCTTAATCATGAGTACTGTAACGTAAGTCGACGCTTTACTTACATTTTCATGCTTGAATTACTCTTAGTCGGTGCCTCCACGATATCTCATTACAACGCTACATTGTAATGGAAACTGGATGCTATGTATTTACTTTTAGTTTAACGGCTAGCAAGTCGATTGAAATACCACAAGAGTTGTTGATTTGATACCAGTTGACGTCATTGCTTTGTAAAAGATTAAAAAAACACATAAAATTAAAGATTAGAAAATGTACATTTAAGAGGTATAGTCTTCATTAACTATCGTACGCAGAGACTAAGTGGTCTTTTAGTGTAAAGTAAGTCTGAATAAACTACACTTAAACCTTAATGAGTAAGGCCTTTCTCCGTACATTAACTAACGCATGTTTCTCGTGTGATTATCTCTTTTTGAATAAATCACTTCTTTCTCAATATTACGAATTAAAAATAAGCAACCGTGGAAAAACTGTAGCAATTATAAGCATGTCTTACTGAAAACATAAGAACGTAATTTTAACTGTTTTCAAACCAATTATTGAACAATGAGGTACCAGGAACACATAACATAGTAGGTAGTGTGTTTAATTTTTGTTCAAATATGGTATAACGATAGCGTTACGAAGCCGCGCACGGAACGTATGAGTGACGGCGGTGATGTTTTTAGTACCTCTGTCCGTCTTACTGGAGGTAATACTGAGAACTTAAGCTTATGAAAGTATAAGTTACAAAAAACGACAACACGATCGCTATGGCAAAAAGGCCGCCCCCCGCAATGGGAGCTCGAGTTTCATTGCGTGTTTCGAATTACGGCCTTTTTTGTAAATAAGTTCGCACTTAATTAGATACTACCCTATTTAGTTTTATCATAATAACAAGGTTAATTTTTACTGTCTTCATATACCAGACTGATGAAATATCTAAAATCTCATGGTGTTCCACTTACAAAAACTTGCCTTGTTCCTTGCAACGAAACAAACTCTGCCTCTTATAAAATAAAAATTGGTTTTAGCAGTGAGTTGCGCAAATGATATCTATAGTCTATGGTGGTGATAAGTCGTGTCAAGGTTTCGAAAACCTTAGAGTTACGTAAGATCGAATACTGCCAAATTCCCCGATTGTACATAATAAGGAAGTAAATATGTTAGTGAATTATAATACAAGAGTTTGCTCTTTTCAGATCTTAAAGAAAAAATCTTTCGTTCCGATTTTAATGTCTACATAATATTAAAGTAAAATTTTGATACATACGTAAACTAATTAAATATATAAGAATTTTGAACTTAAAAAGAGATATAATCAATTTATTTTAGTAGAGTCATAAAAGTTTTTAAATTTCATTAGTAGTTTACGACTCTATAATTAATTCGGCTGTTTTCTAAATTGATTGCATTGTTAAAATTTTTATAGAACTAGAAACATCGACTATTTAATGTATTTCGTAATCAAAACTGTGGGGCCTAGCATGAAAATTTGCGACAAGCGTCATCGTCGTCATCCTTAATTATGTCGAAATTAGTATGAGATTGGTGTAGTTTACGCTGCACAAATTTTAATACGAACTTTGTCGATGACTATACTACTACTATACGATGTCACTTGTTCCAAACATTCGAACTAGGCCCTCTGATATCTGATTCCTATCATGCAATGTTAGTACATACATATTTTTAGGAAGAAAGTCCGACACTGTGCCGGTATACTGGCGCAACACTAGCCTTACTAAAATGTCGACGTTTATGTCCCCTCACTAATCATTCTGACACTTGATTTTAGTAATGAAAGCGCGCCATTCCCGCCAAAGGATTCTAATTAATAATGTCTAAAGATATGTATATTTTTTTTAATTGCAAACCTAAACAGGACGATGCCGTTGGGATATGCCCAGAACGTGAACACTTGGTCTATAGAAAGGAAACAGTTTCATATTTCAGAAGAATCATGAAGATCTTCCGAACGAATGTGATTTTATTTAAAAATAATTCATAATTTTTATTTACATCATAAAACAACATATAACAATTCACTGAGACGCGTTGGAGATTACAAACTTCCATTTGGCGCAGAACACTTCACTCGTCTCTTCCTGATTCACACGTTGATTGATGTATAAATCTAGAATAGGTGAATATGTGTCATCGGTTCAGGTCCGTTTTACCTTATCATTCTTCCATCGAGAGACGGTAAAATTTAGTTATTAAAAATATATAATTTACGTCAAATAAAGCATCTTACCAAATACAAATCTCGAACATGAACGACACAAATCGCATTAATTTTAAACACAATAAAAGAGATTTATGTTGAAGGCAGACTGGACTCAGCCTCGTACGATGTCGTTCGTAAAAAGTGATAATAAAAATATATAATAAAAGAACAGACAGACATGCACTTAATTAATTTTGATACGGATGGGCCGTTTCTTCGTATTCGGTCTAATTAATTAAGATTTCCTTCTCAATGTAAGTATTAAATTATTTAACTTCATTCTTATATGTAATTAATACATTGTATTTCCTTACCCGTTCTTTGTTTGCTTTTTAAAACAAGGGAACGAACGACAACTAACCTCACTGTACTTGAAACTCTCTGATATTTACAAAGAGCAGTTATGATATTCCTTTAAAGACCTAACCAATAGATTTTATGTAGGTACACAACGCAAATACACTGAAGTGAAGTCCTAGGGCTCATGATTCATTAAGCAAATGCAAAACTTTACATATTAGTAGTTTAGTATAATATAATCTTACTAATATTATATTATAATAATAAACACGAATGTTTAGATTGATGGATGGATGTTTGGTTGAAGGTATCTCCAGAATGGCTGAACGGATCTTGATAAAATTTGTTATACATATAGGACATAGTCTGGAAGAACACATAGGCTTATAATTATCTTTTTTTTATTCCGCTCAGCCGGAGTCGCGGGCGACCGCTAGTATTAGTATAGTTAGTTTCCACCGCCGAAACACTTGTATAAAAAATATCTTTTTTTTAAATAGAATGACAAAATGTTTCTACCTGCAATAGCATTGGAAACTGAAGGTTTAAATATAATTTGTCAAATATAAAACATACGATAGTTTATTTTATCGTTATTTATCGTCTTCGTAAACGAGCTAGCGGCCACATGAATTCGCCAAAATAGCAAAGTGACCCATAGTCATCTGCATTTGCAGACGCGTTGCCTACCTTTACTCGACACAGATCGTCCTGTCAGGTAGAGAAAAATTATATTTCCACTTCCCATGCGTCCCTTCCTCTGCCAAATCTACGTTCTCTTCCCATCCTATACTTAAAAGAATAGGGTAGGAAAGGGAAGACTTACATTAGGCCTCTGACACGCCACTTATCAGGCGAAATGTGGAATAGCTTCAACTTAACGCCTGTCTTCTGTGTGGTCATGGTATTTCACCGGGTGAGCCGTCCCATTTGGACAAAGTACATTAGTGCGGGCTCTAACACTGTTGAAGATACTGAAACCGTTTGTATGTCATATACATCTCAATATTTAATAATGTTGGCTATAGTTTGGTCGCAATTTACATTCAGATATTCTATAAACAAACTGTTTATGACGACATTCAAAGTGTTAAAAGTCATAAATAAAGATGGTTTAGGTCGTATCTCAATTGTAAATTGAAGCAAAAAAAAGCCTATCTCAACCTTTCCAGCGCGCCTCTACCATCTGGCCTTTAATGTATTATTCAAAAAATACCAAACTAAGAATCAGATTTGATGTCTCACTCAACTAATAGATTTATATGCGTCGCTATGTCGTTAGCATACATTTGTAGGCAAAGAGCAGCGTAGGCGTTGTTCAGTTATTAGCATACAGATGGAAGTGTGGGTTCGATTCTGTATGTTTTTAGAAAGTTCCAAAGATATTTATTATAACAGTGTTCGTGCTGGAGACGCAACTCGCCTATGATTTATAAAAACCGCCTGCCTATGGGCGTAAACGATACATCGTCTGTCTTTTTCTCACGTAAGTATATATCTGTATATAAAAGAGAGACGGTTACAAACTCCGTGTGAGGCGTCCGTAACAAAACCACCTACGAATATTGTAATCACGATTTATGTCCGCGGAGAATCTCGTGGAAATCGCTCATTCATATAAACGCCAACATACAAGTTCACAAAATTAATTTTAATAAAATGATTTACATTCTATTTTTAAGACAGCATTGACTCGTTTATTGGACAAGTTTGTAACATGTTTCTACTAATTCTGTGTCTTCAAAAGTTTAGTAACCATTTTTATTTTTGTTAATGTCTCCGTAGAAGGCAGGGGTCACTGATTTTGGCACTGACTTTGGCACACCTATTCTATGTATAGCGTACGAGCGTCAGTGGCTCAGTGGTCAAGCACTTGACTTGCAATCTGCAGGTCCTGGGTTCGAATCCCACCATGTACCAATGTGTTTTTCGATTTCCGATTTACATATGTACATTTATCCGACGTTCTTACGGGGAATGAAAACATCGTGATGCAACCTGCACATGTCTGAGAAGTAATTCAAAGATATGTGTGAAGTCAACCAACCCGCACTTGCTCAGCGTGGTTAATCACCCTTTACTTAGGGTAGGCTCCGAGCCCCTCGGTGGGGACGTATAGTGAGCTGATGATGATGATTCTATGTACATAGTCATGTAATATAAACTATGGTTTTCAACTTTTAATGTACTATGTGTACAACAGATGAATTTCATTGTCGCAATATTTGTACAAAAAACATATTGATAACCTTGTCTTTTTCAAGGAGAATAAGAGAGACGACTATATGTTTTGTACAAGTGTTTCGAACATGAAAACTTTATAGAGATAAAGGTAAAATGAACCAGAAATCTCAGTGTAGGTGTATAATATATAACATTATTTTAATCATGTTGCTTTGATGCAAACTTACCTTTTCTTACTGTAAGTTCCCACTGCCAAAAGACACTGTATTGTACAGTCAGCTGCATTAATGTGTATATATATTTACAAAAAAATATACGACTTCCGTTTCAAAAGTACACGTATCAACCATGAATACATGTTATTCTCAAGTACTTGGCCTACACAACTTTTCAATTTCTTAAAGTATACATATTTTTGCAGCTGACTGTACTTGAAATTGTAATGTTATCCCTCTAATTTTAATTATAAAACAAAGATTATACAAAGTTTTTGACATGTATTACGACAGTGGAAACTCATGGTTTAACGTTCCTTAGACGTACTACCAGCATTTATAATATTACTAACAATACATGAGTCAGTCGACATTGAATAATAGTGACTGGTGTTGCATATATGTAGAAATGGGAATTATTTTTATTGACAACCGTGTTGAATACCAAAAGCACACGGCGACCGAAACCCGTCGAGTTCAACGTTCTTTGCTCATTAGCTTTTGATAACTTCGACTCCAATACTGTAGAGCTATAACATTTAATTGGTCATTAATCGAAAATTGATTTTATCGTGAACACCCGTAAAGTTCAATTTCCTCTAAATCGTTAGTTGGTTTTTTTTATTTACAAGTATATAACTGGTTCTCAACATTTAGACGGTTGAAATGATAAAATTCCTCGCTCCGGCACGTATAGATTAGGAAATTTTTCTAACCAAGTCGGTAATAGCAGGGTCGGACAAACAGTCCGACATACCAGTAGTGGTTTAAGAATGATGCTTGGTTAATTTTCTATATAACTAAAAAAAAATTGTATAATAAAGAAAATTGGGGAATGCTCTAAGAACTACTGCTGCTGCAGTAAGTAGTAACTGCTGTAAGTACAAAAAATTAGACAAACTTAAGAAAAAAACTAACAGTCGAATAAATTCAAATGATCAAAGTAATTCGTACAACGTTGGTACTTTCAAAGTATTCAATGCAAATTTAAAATCCCCGAAGCTGGTCACATTCTCTCACGGATGGACCGCAACCTCCATACAAATTGACCCCAGGGCGAGACCGTGCAACTAATTAAACAGTTTGAAGTGCAAAACAACATCGTTCTCGGAACACTTACACAGTTAGACACATTATAAATTATTAATGACTTGAGATATACAAATCGTCAACTAGGTACAGTCACGGACGATTATTTTAAAGCATTTGAGTAAAACATCGTGGCTTCAAAATATTCAAAATCAAATGAAACTAATTAATTGTTTGACTACAACTTTATTGTCTTGCCTGTACTTGTTATGAGTTATTTGTTGGCGTAGTGTCCAATAGTGCGCGTGCTCGCCGCTAGGGGCACTCACTTGGTGGCGGATCGTTTCACCTGTATCATTCTTAGTAATCTGTTCTTGTGGTACACAGGTACAGTGCCTGGTTTCTTCTCATCGTGTTCAACGGGATACAACTGAAAAAAAAGACTTTATAAATTGTAGGCACTTATCTTTTTTTCCTTTGCCTTTCTAACTAATAAAAGATTTAAGAGATAAGCAAATACTAATTTTTAATCTACAATATTTTTACCACGATTTCACGTAAGAATGCCTTGAACTTTTGCATTTCGTAATGATTTTGCAAAAAAAAAAAATTTGTCAAAACTTTAAAATAGTCAAGTAAAATTGTTTTTTTTTAGATTATACTTTTTCAATACTACATACCACTTCGGTTTTTGATTGTAAAAAACCCGTAACTTTTTTTTTGGCCCGATGTAATATTATTTTTTTCGGTGAGTTTGCGGCTTGTGAATATTTGGATTTCTGTTTCTTATCTGCCGGGTCTAAACATTTTGGCTGTTTCCTAAGCATCGCAACATGGACACGGGGATTGACCGCAGTGACACCGTATTTGGGTTTACATGACAGTTTCACTAATTCACAAATAGGCTTCTGATTGAAATGATTATTTCTTTCTTTCTTAGTCAATGGTATTTGACATTCACTCGACGAAACATAAGGTACACCGTAAATTTCATATTGTTCATCTGCTTTATCCTTTTGGGTCCAGATTCTTTTACAAAAATTATAACTGCTATTTTTCTTCATTTGATTGACGGGCCAAACAGCCACTGGAGGCTTCTGATTGGCGTTAGCTGAAGGCAAATTAAGACAACCGTTGATAAGAATGCAAGGAGGATTGTGAATACATAATATTTCTCCGTTGTATTTCTGTTTCAGTTTTGAGACAACTTCATCGTGTGGCGCTCTACATGGCTCGTCTCCTTTATTTGACTTCGCATCATCAGGATCTTTTGAACGTTTATCATTTTTACTCTTGTCATTATTGCATTTATTGCAAGGTGTATTTATACGCGAACATGTGTGCACATCTTTAGTTGTCGGAATTACGGTTTCAGTTTTATTTTTTTTACAATCGCATGTACAATTTTTTGAACGTGTGTCTTTTGTAGATTCTTCTGTATTCTCTCCTGGACTTGTTAATATTGCATTGACCTTTTTCTCGGTTTCACTCATTTTTTCAGCAACTTTCAAACAATCTGGATCCCCGTTTACACTGGAAATAAATGACGCAGATTGTCCACACTTACAACTTTTAGTGCGATCACCGTCTTTTGTCTTTCTAGTAATTTTATCAGTTAAGTATTCCCAAAAACCCGAAGAGGTAGATGGTAGAGCACTGCAACGGGTTGAATTTGAGTCGTAACTCTTCTCTTCCTCCCAAAATGGAGTAGCAATCACTTGATAGGGTAGAAATCTTTCAACTTTAGAATAACACTGTTGTTTTTTGTTACCAAAATATTTCCTATTCATTTTTTTATTCCTTTCACGTTCCTTTAAAATGTAATTTTGCATTCTCTTCTTATAACAATACCTAGATATGTTTTCATATTCTGAATCACACGAAGTGTGGCTGCTGGCACTGCTCCTTGAAAATGGATTTTTTATTAATTTAGGATTGTAATACACTGAATGGCGATGTCTCTCCGATCGACTGGAATCCGGTCTCTTGACATCTTCGTCAACGTAATAAGGAGATCGCATAGCGCATTTGTATCGTTTCTTACTAATGCATTTTATTCGTCTTTTTTCGCATCGCGCACAATAAGGTTCTCTATAAGTCTCCACTGATAAATTTTTGACGTTAGTTCGACAACATTTTTTATGATTTTGTAATATATTTGAAAAGCATGGAAATATTTGAGATCTCTTTAAAAAATTTGAACTTTTTTGTACCACGGTGCTGCTTCCTTTGTGGGCATTACTGATGTTATGGAACTCCGCTCTGGGATCTATCTCGTAATTAAAGCAATTTAAAAGTTTTTCAACGCTCGTATCTGGTATGTAAGTTTGAGTTTTACTGGTAACAGATGATAAACCGTTCATCGGCTTATTCATTTTAATTTTACAATTTAAACTATCCTCTTTTGAAAACTTCCAATTTTTATGTGTAGCTGCTTCTTTATGATGTTTGTCTGTTACTAAAAACTCTCGCTTTTTCCATTTTGATATGTACATATCGGATTTTCTGTCAATTTTTGAGCTATCAGATCTTTGTTCTAAGTATTTTGGATCATAACAAATCAATAAATTGCTGCAACAAAAATCGTACATTGCGTAAACCCCTATCTGGTGTCACGCGTAGTTCTTCATCTCACTTTGTTTTTCATATTTATTTTATATATTTTTATATTTATTTACACATGTTTTTTTATCGGAAATAATGACTGAATTGACAATGACATTGAATTTATTTTTTCATGAATAAAAGGTTATAAAAAGTTTTACAGAATAATTCAACTCATTGTTATTAATTGAACTTTTTAGTAAAATGTTTAAAATGAACACAAAAAATGTAACACAAAATAAATGTAAAATAAATATTGATAAACATTGTGCCTTTACAATATAATTTAATAAACATTATTCTGTTCGTTTACGTAATATATATATATATATATATATATATATATATATATACAGTGTATATATATATATTTGTGACCTTGCATACTGCAATAATAAGTAGGTGAAAACATTGCAAGAAATTACTTAAATATACATCATGCTACAAATTATTTAAAGCATATATTATATCTTACTAATATTATAAATACGAATGTTTCCATGGATGGATGTTTCTTTGAAGGTATCTCCAGAACCACTCGACACATCTCGATGATATTTGGTATACATATACAACATAGTCTGAAAGAACACATAGGCGTTTTTTTATTTACGCAAACGGAGTAGCGGACGACAGCTAGTTGTGCTAATATTATAAATGCGAATGTATAGATGGGTGGATGTTTGTTTGAAGGTATCTCCAGAACAGCAGAACGGATCTCGATGATATTTGGTATGCAACATAGTTTGGAAGAACACATTGGCATTGTTTTTTATTCACGCAAACGGAGTCGCGGGCGATAGCTAGTTATGATATAAAATTTATTAAAACAAAAGCAAAATCTTCACTCGTAAACACTAATTAATTAGTAACAAAAGCGAGGTTTAAAGACATCTATAAATTTTCCGCAGCGGATTTGCATTTTAATTTTGGAATATATAAATTTTTTGCAACAAAATACGAAGGTCGCATCTAAATGTTGCGCATTTAAAGAAACCTAGGAATAAATCAGATGGTAAACCGATGACCTTAATGTCAAAGACCTCTAAAATACAAGGAAAAAATCTATACAAGGAAAAATAATCGATTTAAAAAATCGAGTAACTAAGAATCGAATTTTATTTTTAAATTATTATATATTTTATTCCGTATATTTACTCTTAGTCATTGTTAGCTAAAATCCTTAGGCGCGAATGACGCGTTTTTGTTACAAAGTCAAGTGTGAGAATGATTAGTGAGGGGACATAAACGTCGACATTTTAGTAAGGCTAGTGTTGTGCCAGTACACCGGCACAGTGTCGGATTTTCTACGTAACATTAATGAAATAAAACTCAAGGGAAGAATATAAATCGATGGCAACTCATCTCCAATGGATTACGACTAACATGATAAAAACCCAAAACATTACTATTTTTATCTTCTTGGGCTAATCGTGTAATAAATAGGAGTTTCTTTAAAAGCTAAAATATTTTTTTTACTGTAATTATAACGATATATCGACTGATATCTACAACTAGCTGTCGTCCGCGACTGCATCTCCGCGGAAACAACTCATTAAGTAGCCTATGTGTTCTTTCAGACTATGTTCTACATCTGTGCCAAATTTCATCGAGTTCTGTTCAGCCGTCCTGGAGATACCTTCCATCTAAATATTCGCATTTGTAATATTAAGTAAAATAATAAGATTAACATTATGGAATCTGCTTTTGTACCATGTAATATATTTTGACGAAACATTTAAAATATAGAAAAGAATGTTAATTTGATGACGTCAATTAGCTAATGAACATAAAATGTCTTAGGTCATTGGACGACAAAATTCTACTTTATTTTTAAAAACGACGACTTTTTTTTAAATATTAGCAGATTTTTTTGTAAATTTACTAATATTTCTTTAACCATTCCAACTAAGCTCTATGCCTGTGCTAGGATATGGTTTACGACAATAGTCGAATGGCGGGATTCGAACCCCCTACCTCGTGATCGGAAATCCGTACCCTTAACCATTAGGCTATTGACGCTCAATTTTAAAACATAATCTTAAGTGTTTTAAAACAATATAATAGTATTGACTCACCGACATATAACATAACTAGCTGTCACCCGCGACTCTGTCCGCGCGGAATTAAAAGGAAAACTTAATCAGTAGCCTATGTCTTCCAGATGATGTTCTACATCTATGCCAATTTTCAATGAGAGCAGATCAAGACAGAGCGTTCTCAAGATACATTCCAACAAATCTTCCATGCATCTAAACATTCGCATTTATAATATTAGTAAGATTAAAGCAATTTGATACTTTACGTAACGTTGAAAACGTTTGAACATAGGGTTGTAGACTAAAACAAAGAGTTGGTTCACGCTCTTGTATTATTATTATCGGAATTAAACGCTGAATTAATATGCAAAGGTGATACGTCATGCTGGAAGCGCTGTGCATTGCTCTGTGGGGGGAACTTACGGCGATCTCTACATCTTGATACTTGATATTTTCATTGCAATACAACTGTATAAACGTCTTATATAAATCACTTTCAGAATACTTTTGTGCAATAAAAAACGGGATATGTGCTAGAAAGTTTAGTATGATTTGTGGTAATTACGACGCTACCTACGTGTCGTATTGTTTCTTATTATCGTCCGTTTTTTTTATGCCTGGGAGGAATTTACACGACTTTATTCTGCATAATGTTACTATAACACATTTTACTGGAAGTTTCTATGGCCTGTAATAGGTATGTCGATAACAAGTAAAATACATTAAAGCGAATTCAAGTATCAAGAATGTATAGTCATCCACTAATAAAGCGAAGCAACACGTCACACTATGAAATAATAGGAAAGGAATAAAAAAATAACCCAAGGTGAATGCCGGAGCACGTAGGTAGGTTTTAGAAATAATGAATCGAGCCAAAGGGTTCGGCATATTAATGTAATAGGGGTGCGACCCTCGTAATCATAGGTGATCTGGCGGCGGACGACGCTCTCTATCCTTTTTTTTTATTTTTTTAAATTAAACCCGGCACGGCTATTAAGTTTGGTCAAGCACACAGTTTCGATTACTCGTGGTTTCGCTTTCACGAGATAAGTCTTCTAAAATTGATTCTTTGATATACAAATTATATATGTTATGTGTTCTATACTAAAACTTTATAATCGACTACAATAGACTTATTAAAGTATAAACTTAGAAAATTTGTTTACACTTTAATAAGTCTACTGAATATAAATATAACACAGACTAACTCGTAACCTTGACCGATATCCGATATCCGATATATTCTCGATTAAAATCGATTTAAACCTTGAAATTAGCCTGAACCTCGTTTAAGAGTAACAAGACTCCAGGGATCCCTCAGGAGCCTTGGCTCGGGCTGTTACTTCATTATAGTTACCGGATTGGGAGGTCACCGAGCTCTTAGATCGCTTAGGTGGACGCTCCGTGGAGTGACTGGTTTCAAGGGCCCCCGAGAGGGGACCTCGGCTTGGGCTGTCACTCATCCGCTGAGATATTTGAAAAGAGTTGTACCATCTGTAAACGTTCACTTAATGTCTTTTACGTTTTATTTTGCTATACAAAAATGTATAAATGATTAAAGAAATCTACTTCATTATTTATCTGAATTTAAAATTTTATGTTAACAACTACTTTAAAGGTTTTTTTTTTATTAAATACTAGTTTTAGTGTAATAAATGGATAATATTTTAACATATTTTATATTAGAGATTGAATTTTATGAAAAAAAATCTTATCTTAATCGTCAAAAATCTTTTTCAAAGCCGGTACTATTAGTGCTTGAAACTACATATCAAGTTTGTGTAGGAATTTTGAAATTCAAATATTGAATGAGATTAAAATCAATATGTAAAATGCCATTTAAAAGCCTTTGAAAGTTTGCAAGAAAATATTATAGAATGTACCGCGTTGAATGTAAATATTTTAAGTCTTTGAAACACTAACAAACAAAACAAATGTTGGTTGCTATCGGAGTTTTTAATTTGTCAATAATCGTCTATTGTTTAAATAGAAAAGCGCTATTTAGCTGAAATGTGTATTTAAATCTATATATAAAAGAAAGTCGTGTTAGTTACACTATTTATAACTCAAGAACGGCTTTACCAATATGGCTGAAAATTGGTGAGGACGTAGCTTAGAGCCAGGAGACTGACATAGGACAAGGAATTTATGCCGTAACGAGCTGCTTTTTATTTAACTTACTGATATTATAAATGCGAATGTTCAGATGGATGTGATATAGATGGATGGGTGGGCTACACTAATTATTATTGTTATATATCCACGCGGACGGAGTCGCGGGCGACAGCTAGTATTGTATAAAAAGACACCTGACCTGGTAATCGCAAATGATACAAAATGCAGCTCATTGGCGCCCCTTAGTTGTTGTCAAAATGTCCCACGATAACCTTGTTGTACTGTAGCTGTCATGTTATGTCTTGTGTAGGCTGGTGTTATGTCTGCGTAGGTTTTACATAGTTTCTGACAGAACTGCGCGTGATATCTGCGCGTTTCTCACCGGGTCAGATAATTTACTCGAACTATAATAATTTTGATATTGTTATGTTAACGTACATTTTTTTTTGGTCATTTACACGACAATATGTGAAACGGACAAATTACAGCATAATGTCTTAAATAATTACTATGTTATTTTTTTGTATCGATAATCATATAGCGAGAGAGTGATCATGGCTGATTTTTACTTATTAACTGTATATTTATGTGAGACATAGTTTTTTTTCTTCTTCTTTAGCGCCTCTTCAGTCAAGGTTGGCCGCTAACTTGGAACATTTGGTGTCAAGTGCAAGGCGAAACAGTTCCTCCGCTGACCTGATCCCCGTCCACTTTCTAATATTATGTAGCCACGACTTTTTCCTACGTCCAGTGCGTCCCTTGCCTTAGTTTTTAACCGCCCATAACTCACCGGCATAGAGATTTAACTGACAATCATAAACAGATGATAAATAAAAAAAAAATAAAGTAGGATTAATAAATATAACTCTTTTCAAATATCTTCGTCCCAAGGTCATCGGGATATCTTCGTAACAGATAATAAATTGTATAAAATCAGCTTTCATTGGACCT